GTGGAGATGGGTTCCAGAAGCCTTCAGAAATTATTTATGTGAGAAAATAGTGCAATCCTCTGTAGCAGGGGTCCCCAAACTTAGCAATAGCAATAGCAGTTAGACTTATATACCGCTTCATAGGGCTTTCAGCCCTCTCTAAGCGGTTTACAGAGTCAGCATATCGCCCCCACAGTCTGGGTCCTCATTTCACCCACCTCGGAAGGATGGAAGGCTGAGTCAATCTTGAGCCGATGAGATTAGAACCGCTGAACTGCAGGTAACAGTCAGCTGAAGTGGCCTGCAGTACTGCACCCTAACCACTGCGCCACCTCGGCTCTGGCAACTTGGCAACTTTAGGACTTGTGGACTTCAACTCCCAGAATTTTCCAGCCAGAATTCTGGGAGTTGAAGTCCACAAGTCTTAAAGTTACAACTATGGGGACCCCTGCTCTGTAGAGATGCAAAATGTTCTGGAAACCATTGAAGGCAGCCTGGAACAGAGAACAGAGAAAGTAGTAGTGCATCTGGAAATTAACATAATCTGCCCACATTGTTATTGTAGACATATATTTTAATCTTTAGTAAATGACATGGATGGAAAGCCTTGCCTTCCTCCATATGAGATTCCAATTGTGTAACTGCCAACATTTTCCCTATCTACAAATAAGTCAAGGTGGCTGGAGTCCACACTGAGGCATAGCTAAAAACTGGAAGGCAGCACAATAAAGGTGGAGATCCTGAAAATAGAACCATAATGGTTTTATACTTGTTAAAATTCATGGAGCCTTTTATATATCTGTTCTGAACTAGGCTTCCTGATAAAAGCATAAATCACACACTTAGTCCCCAAACCCCTCTCTTATTTAAACGACTGTGAATTATGGTCATTCACAGCCCATGATTCATAAACAGTCTGTGAAGAGTCCAACAGATGTCTGCCACAGTCTTTCACAATTATGCTCTTCAGCACCCACCTTTATCTCCATTGAAACGCTGCCAGAGACCTAATTGCCAATTAGTTTTGCAAGGCCAAATGGAGCACAGAGTCAAACGGAGCTTCTCAAAGTTTGAACCAACCAGAACGAACAAAATTGCTTCCGGCAAAGGCTCACGTCCATTTGCTCCTCTTTTATGTCTTATGGGAGGGGCCAATCATCTCCAAGCCTTACTCCCAAGTCGCCCTTTTTGTCTTTAACTGTTCTTGCCTTCTGGCAGCTCTGCACACTGGGAACAGGCTTCCCCTGTTCCTCTGCCAACTGATGTCAGACTCTGGAGGCTCCAGAGGCAGCACATTACTACCAGATGGCCTTGGCCCCCTGTCTGCCTCCAATGCAGAGCCCTAGTCTGAACCTTCCCTAGACTCCAGAACTGGCCCATGTTCTTCCCCAACCACCTCACTGTTCGACTATGTTGTCAGATCTGCAGGCCGCAGGCAGACCACAACAATATCAAACTTCTTGAACTGAAGATGGCCTTTTCTCTTCTACAGGGAAAACAATGATATGGCCGTTGCAATATGGAAATAGGTGTCCTATTTAAGGACACCTATTAGGGAAATGGGGAACCACTGTGTTTGGCAGCTAGATAAAGTTGCAAGGTATTTTTTCTAACCAAGTGAGGTTTGCAGAGATGAAATTTTTAAGGTTGCCAAAAAGTTCTGCATTTGTTTTCCTCCCCTCAAAGAAGAGCAAACTGGATGCAGGTCCAAATAGACAATTTAGGGAATAAAGCAAGAGTTCTAGCAGCTGGTTGCTAAAACATATGTGAGGGGAAAGACAATGTGTCAAGTACTGGATCATTCCCAATGGCCACCTTTACTCTATCCCAGGCTTCAAAGCTTCTGTTTTACATCAATTGGAGTCCATAGTGCTGGACTTAACAACTATAAATCCCAAACAAATTGTGACTACTAAGGACCTTCTTTCTGCAGTCTCGTGGTTCTATGCCTTTCAACCCTTTGACTGTTGACCCAACATCACTGATGGTTTTACTTGAAGCATGCTCCAGAATCCAAATCAGAATCTGGAGAATCAAGGGGCTGAAGTTTCAATAGATTAAGAATCAGTTGAATTGTTACCATATGGAAAAAGACAAGAGCAGATGAACATTAATATTAAAGGTCAAGAATGTGGATAGTATCCCACATTCATAATGGGAAATACCAGCGGCTCTTTCTTTAGTTTGAAACGACAGAGTCCCTTTATTTTTCCATTGATTCTCAATAATTCTCTAATAAAGTGATGTGCAAAAGGAAGATGGCCACAACATTCCAGAATACATGATAGCTCAAATTAATTTTTTTGAGCTAGCCAATTAACTATTGAGTTTATGCTCAAATATAGTGAAATTTAGCACTCAAGTTGCATCTAACCTAGAACAACAAAGTAAGTTGGTGTGATCTGAAAAGTGCTGGACTGAATGCAGCAGTTAAAAATAGTCCTGAGTTATTATTTGGTGCTACAGAACAGAATATAGCAGTGATGGTGGATCTTTTAGTGCCCAAACTGGAAGGCACGGGCGCCAGAGTGCCAGAAACCCGATGACCAGTAGCCCAGCACACATGTGCACCTCAGAAACCGACAACCAGTTGGCTGAGTTGGGGTGACAGCATGCTTACCTACAGAGCAGAGGTGGGTTGCAAATCCTGGTGCTACCGGTTTGCTTGTGCTTGTACACATGCTCGCACAACGCTTCTGCCATGCACAGAATGGCAGGTGGGTGGAGCCGCCCACTGCTACTGCCGGTTCGACTGATCCAGGCCAAACTGGGAGCAACCCACTTCTGCTACAGAGAAGGCTCTGCGCACCACCTCTGGCACATGTGCCATAGGTGTGCCATCATGGGAATATAGTCTATTCCAGATGATGCTTTAACTATTGTTGTTTTTGAGCGATGCAACTCTTGATTAATTAACTAAATACAAACAAAACCTAATCAGATGATTTTTCTGAATTAAAAAACAACTGGAAAGCGACCTGTATTGGTCTATGTCAGAAAAGAAAATTGGCTGGGTAACTTTTCTCACTTGGAATATTTAGGAAGGGCCAGAGGTCTTCAGAGGTCCTCGTGATGGCTTACATAGTTTTGGGACGATTGCTGCTGCTCTACTTTTGATGTTTGAACCTTCTTGACTTTTTGCTTCTTTTTAGCATTTCTTTCCTTCTTTAAGTCCTTAAACTATTTTTCCCATTACTTTTCTCCCAGCTCTCATTTCTAATCTCCTAACAACCAGTTACAGCAACTGAGATCCAACAATAAGTCTTTTTTTTTTTACTTCTCACCTCCAGCCATGCTCCATGGAGGAAACTTTTCTGTCTTTCCAAGGCACTAGCCCTGGGATGTCAAACTTGCGTTGTCACAGTGGCATCATATGACGTTTCATGACTTTTCTCCAATTTGGTAAATTGGATGTGGGCATGGCTACCACATGACACATCCAGCCTGCAGGCCGCAAGTTTGACAGCCCTACACTAGCCCATTCTCACCAGCATTGGGCATTTTTCTTCTCTGAGGGAGTCCTTAAACTAGCCAGATGGGAGGAAAGGCATAGGCAACAGTTTTTTCCTCTCAGGTACACAGATCGTACATACATAGATATTACAGATACATAAAGCCAGTGATTGAGGGATATTTCCTACCTCTTTTTTTCTTGGTCCTTTCAAGTCACTGTTAACACCTGGCAAATCTGTGCAGTTTTCTTAGCAAGATTTTTAGAAGTGGTTTTCCACTATCTCTTTTCTAGGACTGAGAACAAATCCACACAGCTGGATTTGTGACTAAGGGGCACTAGAATTCATGATATTCCACTTTCTAGCTTAAACCCTAACTACTATATCAGATTGCCTCTTCTACCGTGCTTAGATAAGGTTCTGTGTGTGCATTCTATTAGTGGGGTATTAAGTCAAGACTTCACATAATTGTGCATCTCATAAATTTTCCTAGGAAACATAAAGTGATCTCAAATAGCAATAGCAGTTAGACTTATATACCGCTTCATAGGGCTTTCAGCCCTCTCTAAGCGGTTTACAGAGTCAGCATATTGCCCCCAACAATCCGGGTCCTCATTTTACCCCCCTCGGAAGGATGGAAGGCTGAGTCAACCCTGAGCCAGTGAGATTTGAACTGCCGAACTACCGAACTAGCAGTCAGCTGAAGTAGCCTGCAGTACTGCACTCTAACCACTGCGCCACCTCGGCTCATTAGCACTGATCACCTGGTTCCCTTCTAATATTGGGTGGTGATAGGAGGAGAATATTACAAATCATCAAATATTACTCTCCTTAAAGAAAAGAAAAAAAGTAATTGCTAATTACTTATTGGTCCCAGACAAAATAAAACAGTTTGGTTGCAATTAAGAATACAATCCCAAAACAGCAATAGATCTATCTGCCATATCCAGGTACAAACAGATACTTTATCAAAAGAGAAATTGAAACTTGATTAACGTAAAATAAATCAGGGTAATTGATTTTATGAGAATATAGTAATGTTTCTTTCAAGCTTTCCCTATTAAAATTAATTCAATAATATTTCTGATGTTAGATACCATGTGACTAAAACTGAGTTTAGAACATTTATATAAAACCATCTTTTAATTTTTATGAAGATTATATACAGAGCAAAAGTCAATTTTTAATGACCATCTAGCATTAGCATAAGTCTGTAAATATAAAATCTACCGTGCCAGGTTTTTAAACATGAATCCTGAGAAAGAGTGGAATATATTTATAACATTGACTAGAAGAATAAAATCCTGTAATTATTAAAATAGTTAAATAGCTTGTATGTTCTATTGCAGAACAATGAGGAAAAAAAGGCAACAGGGGTATATTTAGGAAATTAGCCTGAATACTCATTGGAAACCTGTACATTTTTAGAAAAATAAAATAGCAGGCTATTTGCCACAGTAAAAACAAAAGCATCAAACAGGTGCAGAGGAAATTCAATTTTAACCATAAGGACCTGGCAATTCTGATTGCAGCCATTTAATGGTTAAATCAATCCAATAACTTCATTAATCAAACTCTTGCAAATTAAATTTATGGGAACTGCTTATTGACAGGCACAGTGATTTTAAGGTTTGCATTAAAAACAAAATTCTAAAATATTATAGGCCTTTGTCTCAGGAGCATCTGCAAAACACAATGTCCTTATAACTTGGGTATTTCAGGTTTAATTGTTCTCCAAACTGTTAATTCCCTTTTGATATTAAAAAGTTACTTTTAGGAAGGCAGCAAAACAAGATACATGAAGTCCAAGCTGCACATAAAATCTTCTCATCATGGAATGCAGTACTGTGTTCAGTAAGGCTATGAAGTTTTTTTTAAAATTTCCATGTATCAAAAGTGCATAGAAGTGTGATAATGCTGAAGAAATAAGTATCCTTTCACATTATTCAGTACAGGGGTGGGTTCTGGTTTCTTCTACTGCTGGTTCGCTTGATGTACCGCATGCGCAGTAGGTTAAAAAATGCCCCTGTGCATGTGCAGAAGCAAAAAACAAGACAGAACCAGTTTGGGGGCATAGCCGGCGAAGTTACTACCTACTTGGCCGAACCCACCTCTGATTCAGTATACTATTTTTCATACTTCTTCAGGTCTATCAGTTTACAGCCAGCATTATGGGCAAAAGTATATTCTTGCAGCAGTCTAGAACACTGTTACAAAGTCTTTCTAAAGTGTTTTTTTTCCCTTGTTCTTAATGTCGTTCGTCTTCTTCGTCTGCTTCCTCAATGACCTGAATCTCATCTGTTTGACATAAGGAGGTATTTTCTGAATGTTCATTTTCTTCTGGTTTATTTAGTTCCTCTTCTTCAATTATTTTCTTCCACATTTTATGGTTTTCATTCAAATGGTATGTTAGCTGACTAAATATTTGCTGTCCGTTTCTTCTTTGTAATTCTGCAAAAGAAAACATTTTTTTTCAAACTAACTTCAAATAAATAACGCATTTTTAGAAAATAAATCATATGTTTAATTTATGTCCTGTTTAAGGAAAAGAGGGGGAAAAAGAGGCCTGTTATCATTTGAAGTTACAGAAGAAAATATTAAGAAATAAGCAAGCTTCCTAGATAATGTATAATGGTGACATTCTATTACAGTATCTTCTTTTATGGAAATACAGGTAGTCCTCAACAACAGATCATTTAGTGACTATTCAAGGTTACAACGCCACTGTAAAAAGTGATTTATCACCATTTTTCACACTTACGACCATTGTAGCATCTCCATGGTCACGGGATCAAAATTCAATTGCTTGGCAATTGATTCAAATTTATAATTGCAGTGTCCTGGGATCATGAGATCATCTTTTGCAATCCTTTGCCAAGTCAATGGAGAAGCCAGGTTCACTTAACAATTGTGTCACTAACTTAACAACTACAATGATTCACTTAACAATTGTGGCAAGAAAGGTTGTAAAATGGGGGGAAATTCACTTAACAAATGTCTCACTTAGCAATGGAAAATTTGGACTCAATTATCTTTGTAAGTTGAGGACTACTTGTAACCGAAATCAAATTGTTCAAAACAGCATTTACTCTTACTTGTTCCTAAATCTTCCATTTCCTCTTCGCTATCCTCTTCTGCATCACAATCTTCAGAGCTTTCCCGCTCATCTTTTTCAATCCACCTGCCTGGAAGCAAGTTGGCTGCATCGTAAGAATTGCAAAGAGGACCAACAATGTCAGCAATAAAAGATTCTTGTAATTTGGCAAGTTGAGGAGAATGTCGGTTCATAAAAGGACTAATAGGTAGCCCCAGGTTTGCTTCTTCATCTCCCTGGAAATTTATACATACAAAACATTTAGAACAGATTGGACAGAACAAGAGAAGAAGAAAAAAGGGGAATTCTTCTCATAATCTTACCTAGTGTTACAAAGAGCTAAAATAACTAAATCTTTGCTTTTAAAATTGCATTACACTTAGATACTTTCTAAACAGATGAATTAGGATATAAAAGATGGACAAGTTCTATGATAAATCTTTACACAAATAACAGTCTAATAGAGGAATAGGCAGCATGCAGGCTTTGTATTACTTACATTCCAGCTTTTGGCATGATTTTAGATCCCTTTGTAAAATAATACACTTAAATATTTTAAGATTCAATTTTATGCATATGGCCATTCCATGTACAAGATTATTTGCATTATTTTCTCATATGTGTTCTATTTACATAGGTTTACCTGTTCATAAAATTCATTAATAATTCCCTCTGTCCATTTCAGGTGGAGATCTCTAACTTTGGCTGGACCATTGATATCTGCAAGCTTGATGCATATCTGACATATTAACAGTCGATCGCTCTCATTGCTCCATTCAATACCATGTCCATTCATGTTTACCTATTTAGAAGAGAGAGACAAAGGCATAAATTAAATATTTTCCTCAATCCTTCATAGCTTTTATATATAAATTTAAATTTCGGGAGTTTCTTATATAAAGTACACTTTAATTTCTTCTTACATTCTGCAGTATTCATGTGTAATTTGAACTAATTCCTAGGTATACAGTATGGCTTAGTTCCAAGGAAGGAGGCACAGGTTTACACTTATTTGTGATTTAAGTATCACTGAATGCAATGAATTGAACTAAATCCTGTCTGTCTGTCTGTCCGTGTATATATATATATCCATTTCTCTCCCTCTTCCCCTACCTACCTAAAGTATTTTTAAAGAATTTCGCTGTTGACATTCATCTCCTTGTTCCTGTCTAGCATTTTGTGCTTAAACTTACAGAAAAAAACCACCGAATTCAGCAAATAATTAAAAATACACAATGCACTGAAGTTTATTTATGTTCAGTTACCTGCATGTATATTTGTATAAGACAATAATAACTGCATCACATTAGCCAACCTGACAACCACTCTTCAAGGAATCCTATAGACCATCATAAATCTTCATTGATTTCCTGAGTAACAGCAAAGAAAGTGCCAGATTGACCTCAAGAAACAAAAAAAAGCCACTTCCTTCCAGGCATAAAATACTCAATATGACTACTTGGTCTGCATGAGTTAGGCAGACGGATCCTACCTGGAGGAGAGAGTCCCCCCAAAAAACTGAGCTACTAAGTATATTTTAAGTAATGTTCTGTATATTGAAATGGGCCCAAAACTCAAAGCAACAATGCAGTCTCCATAGTACTGGTATCATTCTTAGGTACTGATTTCAATCAATCTGGAAGTAAGGGATTATGTTTAATTCATGCTGTAACTTTCAAGTAATGTTCAAGAATAGTCCCATATAAAGCAAATTACAGTAAACTGGGAGATGAAAGGTCATGATTCACTATAGACAGCATCTCCTGATCTAGAAAAGGTTGTAATTGGTGTGCTAGCTGGAACAGGACAGTGTGTCATCTGGCAACGACCTATTCTTGCTGTGCTAGCAAAAGTCACAAGTCTAGGAAAACCTGATGTCAAGAGCTAAAGATGGAACTAACCAATTAGCAAAGGGCCTATACAAAAAACAGCACTTTTAACTTGCTACAATTCATTCTGAATCTGTTCCTTCCCAGCCAGGCACAACTCCAGGCACTGGATCTTCCATCTCATGATGGAATAAATAAACTGAACACTTTACAATGTACATATATACATAATTTCCAACTTCCACTCGGAGCAATTATGAAATCCACCAAAAAACAAATCCTATTATACAGTCAAAGATACCCTGATTCATCATAGATTTTTAACCATAAGATTTAGATTAGATTTCTCAAACTCACTTAAAAACTTAAAATAATCATAAAACACACATGAATTAGCACCATGAAAAATCTACTACAAAACAGATCCTACTAATAGTTTTTAGCTAAAATTCCTCAAAGGTATCACAATAAGAAACTGATCTTAGAAAAAATAATTAAAAAATCTGCTAATAAAAAAAAAGAAACTGATCTTACTGTTTTCCGTATTATCACTCAGGTGACCCTATTACAGAATTCACTGATATCATGCATAGATCAAGAATCTATATATCTGCAAATCTTCCAGTGTGATATATATTATTTGCTTACCACATTTTATACAGAATAAATTAGCCAGTCACTATGGTATATAAAAGAACAAACCAGCTCTCAGATAGGGCAATATATTAAACAGTCTAGAATTTGGATTAGTCCAAAACGAGTGAAGATTATAATTGCTATGCCACGTATCTTACAAATAATTAAAGTGCCAATTCCTGTGAAGAGAATTCATCTGAGCAAGAATCTCTTAAGAGGTTCAATATCTTTCTGATGATTAATTGACTTGAGGCCAACTGTTCTTTCCAGAATAAAAATCTTAATCAAATCCCCAGTGCATAAATATCTGCCATACCGAACAACTGCTTGGTGAACGGGTATTAAGATTTCAGCATCATTATTTGTAATGTCAGAATTTCATTCCCCCTGATATCATTGCTGATCCTGTCTCTAGATTATAATTTATATGTCTGATTTAATGAATTATAAGATTAGAAAAGCAACATCACAATAAACTTGTGCTTTTCCCCTTTTCTATTCTATTCCCTTTTCTATTACCTTGTTCCTTGTTTCTATTTTGAGAGATGAACAAATTTTTAATCCACTACATTTGATCAGTAATTATGAATTTGGCATGTCAAAGTCAATTGGTATATAATAGCTAAGAAATTTAGTATATGGGTTAGAAAGAGTTGTTAAATAAAAATTAAATACAAATTTCCCAGTCATACTTGAGAAATTTGTATAGAATACAGAATTGTATGATTTCACTAGTACCCCCTTCTCAACTAACTGTAACTTCTCTTCCCCAGTGGAGAGTCTATCATTCCCCCAATAACAATAATGTGAAATATGCAATCTATGCCCTAGGCAGACAGGCAGGCAGGCAGACAGACAGAGATAGATAGGCAGGCAGGCAGGCAGGCGGGCAGGCAGGCAGGCAGGCAGGCAGATAACAATGCACCATGCAATAACATGTAGAAGGAGACAAAGTAATTGGTATCACAGTCTTAATTGATGCCAAAGTTTGCTGGCTATAGAAGGAGATTGACTTAGAAATGTCTGAAAGCAGATAGAACTAAGGACCTAACGTAACCTTTTTACAGCAAGTGTATTAAAGACTATCTGCGCCATTCTAGGAATGGTGCGACGGCCTGGGAAGATCACCATAGAGGAATTTTTATGATGTCCATCCTAACCTTCTTGCACTGACTATCCAAATAGATGAGACTTGTTCTAGAGCAGAGGTGGGTTGCTGCTGGTTTGGCCGAACCGGTAGTAGTGGCAGGAGGCTCCACCCATCCACCTGGATGCTTCTGCGCATGTGCAAAAGCATTGCATGTATGCACGGATGTGAGTGCGAGCAGGGGTGTGCCCAAAAATTACCCACATCTGCCCCACAGTAGGACTGCTTTTCTTCCTGATTTTATGTTGTTCTATGTTCAGGGGATTCTTAATGCAATGTAGACAGGAACAAAGAAAATATGTGACAGCTGTATAAGAAATTACTTTTTCAACTTATCCTAAAGTAACACATGGCTTAAAAAGCCATTCAAAACATATTTATATTTGACTAAAATGTGAATTTTATTGGTCTTTATGCAGATTAAGCGCATTTATGTTTGAAACAATTTGGTTCTATTTTGGTTTGATTAATTTAACTTTGTTCGGTATTTTTCATTTATTTATAATTCTTTTCTTTATATGTTGTAAAGAACATAAATTAATAAGCAAATATTTAAATAGGTAGTATACAATATTAAACCATACTACATACATATGTACTGCATATTTCTATAAATTTCTATAAATATAATGAATAAATAATATTAAGTAGAACAACACACCTTGGCATTAAATTCAGCAAGAAAATCAAAATGTTTCTTGAGATCTGTCGCAAGTATTGCTTCAATCACTAAGAATCGAAATCGTTTGAACTGTACATGGTCAAGATTAGACAGAAAATTGTATTCCGGTAGTGATAAGAAGAGGCTCCATGCAGAGGCTGCGTGATGATTTTCTAGAACCGATCTATCATTGTACAACACAGCCTGAAAAATAATTAGTACAAATATTTTAAAGAGTGACATTTCACAAAACCGTAACAACCAATTCATGTTATCTCTGAGAAATAGAATAAAGCGGTTACTTCTTTATGAGAATTATTATGCTAAGCAATTAGATATAAATCTCTAAATAAAAACACAATCTGAGTTAGATCCAGAAAACATAGGCTAAATTTAATTTCCTACTCTTAAGGAAGAACCATATTCAAATAAACCATAGAAGCATCTGCTTATAGTCATTCTTCTCCACCTTCTTGAAAAGAGAGGGAAAAGCTGAAACAGGGAGAGGGAAGCTTAAATAATAAATTGTTTAGTTCAAGTGAATGCAATATTATGCACATTGTAGGGAGAGCCTTAATCTCACATATACGCTAATGGGAACTGAGCTGCCTATAAACTAGCCAGTTCATGGGATTATTACTGTCACCAGAATGTGCATAAACTATGAAAAATGCAAATTTCATCATAGGAATCGTTAGGAAAGGGACTGAAAATAAAACAAGTGATAATGCAGTGCCCTTACATAAATGGGCATGCATCTATCTCTGAAATATTGTGTACATTTCTGGTTCCCAAGGTGAAATTAAAATGATTAGGAAATTCAAATGCATTTCCTACAAGAAAAGCTATATTGTCTAGGACTGCTGAAGTTGGAAAAGTGATTGAAGGAGGGCATATAAAATTGCTCATAGCATGGAGAAAGTGGGCAGGAAGAAATTTTCCTATTTTCTCAAAACCGTAGGACCAGGAACCATCCAATTAAGTTGATGGGAAAGAGATTTAGAACCACTACTATAGCAGCAGCCACAAAAACCCTTCACACTGCATATAATTAACTTCCGAAATTCATTATCCCAAAATGCATTATCCCATTTTGTAAACTAGATTATCAGACCCTTGGAGGCCTTGGTCTCCAGCTGCAGCTGCTAAATGCCAGTAATAAATTTCTCTTTATCTACAATTTCATCAGAGATGAGAAGGCAAAGCTGGCTTGCATTACCAACACTTGGATGGATGCAGAGGGAAGTGTTTCCCTGCTCTGAATGTGGCCATCTAAGGTTAGGTTCAGCTGCAGGCCTATGGCAGGAGAGGAGAGCAACAATCATGCAGACACTCTATAGAGGCGCTGTTCCACAAATAATTGGGTGTGAGGTCTTGTTCCTCAGGGAAAAGTTGGGACCGCAGTTGTTGTACCATCTCCTTCTACAGAGCATCTCTCTTCCTGAGCTGCTTAACCGCATCTCTGGGCTGGCAGTGTGATGTCCTACTGGCTTCTTCATTGACTTTGCTTGTGGGAAGCTAGCAGGGAAGAGCCAAATGGTGATCACATAACTGTGGGATACGGCAATTGTCGTAACTACAAGCTTGTTTGCCAAATGCTTAAATTGCAATCACGTGATTTTGGGAATGTTGCAATGGCCACAACTTCAAGGACTGGTCAAGTTTCTCTGATTCAGAACCATCATAACTTTGAACAGGTGCTGAATATAATGCTCTGCAAGTATAAAACTTAAAATAATAGAATTGGTAGAAATCTGATTATATAATGCTAAATTTAATAGTTGAATTATGTAGCATATATGACTTTTCACATTATACAGAAAACGATCCTACCTGTGGTGCATTTGTTGCTACCAGAAAAGCATTTGTCCGACCAGGATGATCAAAATCATGCATAGCTGCTGCTACATATAAAGCCATTAATTCTAAGGCTGGAATATTTGATGCTAAATATCCATAGTTTTCATCTACAACAGGACAGCTTTTGGATGAAACATAGGCAACATGGCCCCCTGAAATATCACTTTCTGTATCCAAAATAATAATCATAAAAATAACATTTTAAGAATATTCAGAATTTTTATAAACATTTTCAGCATATCAAGCAATCTATAGATCTCGCTGTGCTGGATCCAATTAAATATTTCCTCAGTCAGGACACTATCAGAGTAGAACTTTTGATTCTGCTGAGCTTTCTTTAAAGGTCCTGTAAATTACACCAATATTTGAGCTAGTGAGACAAACTTTCCAGCACAAGTGGGGGAAGGCACAAGTGATATAAATTAAAAAATATATACTTTAGCATCACAGTTCACTTTACACAATATTAAAGAATTCATTCAATTCGCCTGATGCTAAAAATAACAGAATGTACTAAAGAGGCATATATTAATTGAAACAGGATGTTGAATACTATTTTATTTTTCCGGTGGAATAATTTTAAAAAGCTCTAATTAAATTAAAGACTTCAAGTATTTTTAGTCTGAGGCGTTTATTTTAATAATTAAATAAAGAAGTATTACTCTAATGCATTTTAGTTGCTGGAAACATGCTGACCAATCATGCTGACCACTACAATAAAATATAGGCCTTATTCAGGAGAAGGATTCCAAATGAAAACAGTTTACTTGGCTAAGAAGTAAAGTCTGTCAGCAATTATCCAATCAGTTTCCTAAAATCTGAATTACTAAATTTAGTTTCAAGCAGGCAATCTTCAGACAAGTGTATATTTACTTCAGGTATATTTGTTTTACTCTATCAGACACGGCCTCCTTGTGGAATAACACTACAGACTTACCCCTGGCAGTTCTTCTCCCGGAGTCACTGTCTATTTGCTGAAATCCGGGAATTGGTCTCGTTGTAAGATACCACACAGCATGAAGAACATCTGTTGCATGTATTCGATTGTGATCTAAAATAATACAGGTTTTATTAAACGTAAACTTGCCGTTACATATGAAGACTCAATAACCCAAAGAAACTCAAGACAGAGACAAAGATAGAATTCTAATTTTAAAAAATGGCCTTATAGACGGCAGCTGTATTCCCCTCTCGCCTTAAAACCATTTGCATGCCAGTTCTTCATCAGTTAATAGACCATGAGAATTTCAAATCCACAGCTTAATTACACAGGGATTCAATAAGATTTTTCACTAGGCTCAATGTGTCAATGAAGATTCCTTCCAGATAGAATTGTCTGGAAGTTGAGTCATGGGAACGGGACTTCTTTTTTAAAAAAATTCTTGAAATGTTTTGCTGCTTATCAGTCTGAAGAAGTTACTTGGATAAGCAGAAAAACATTGCAAACCAAAAAGAAAAGAAGTCTAGTTGCCATGACTCAACTAGACTCCAGATGCTAGGTTCAATGATAATTTAATTCCTATCTCTCCTTAATATTTTTTTAGATTAGCAAAGCCTTACACATATTTGGTTTTATCTATTTTATTATTATTATTTTTTAAAATCTATACTTATCACATAATTAGTAAGATTATGAAAAAAAATAAAAGAAACAGAAATATACTACTAAGTTACAATAATAGTTCCTTGCAACCCTAATCCTAACCCTTACAAATATAATTTAATAAAACTCAATGGAAGTCTCAGATTAATAAATTAGCCTAATTTTGTCAACTATTACTCACAGGGAATGTCTCGATAGCCATTTTCTAGTGCTTGAAAGTAGTTCATGAAAGGCTGAACTGGAATTTTGAAAATTTCAAATAAACCAGTGTCTTGAAACAATGCAAATGCAACCTAAACACATAATAGACACATATGAAAACATATGAAAAACATTTCATTTTTAAAGGATTCTTCAAGAATGGATGTTGGTTTTTTCCCCTTGTGCCTTTTTCTGGCAGTCCACCTCAGTCTGAAGAATATGTAATGAGAAGGGCATAGAAATGGGGCTTAACAGAAGGTAAGGAATCACCTTAAATTATAGCATTGAAACTATTAATTGTTTTTGTCAAAATCCAATTAATATTTAATACTATAATACTATAACATAAATTTGCTAACCAATCCTTGAGATTTTCTCCCTACTTGTTAAATCTGTACAAGTCACATCTATATATGTATATGCATATTTACATTCAATTTTTTAAGATATATCTCAGATGAAATATTCTTGATTAATTAACTTAATTGATTTATAAATTCAATTGATCTATAAGTGTATACATTAACTATTCTCTCTAAATACACATAAAACATATACAGCAGAAAAAGCAGAAAGATTTAGAAGACCAGCTGTAAGAACAGTCATTTCTACTCTATGCTTAGAATAGTTTTCAACATTCTTTTATCCTTATCAATTGTCACTTCCTCCCATTCATATGGAACTATTTGAGGAAAAACATGGTTCAGTCTGGAAAACTGTTTGCAAATATGCTACTTATTTATATCAATGTATGTATTTATACAGAGAGAACAGCTTTCAAAATGTTCATGAGTGTACGGTTAGAAATATTCAGATAAAATAAACAGAATTTCTACAGTAGCAACAAACCTGACTAAGGATTCTTCTAGATTTATCGCCCATATTTTGAACAAGATCAAATATTTGAAAATTCCAGCTGTTCATTTCTTCCATTAATGAATTATGGTTCTCTATTAACATCTTTTCTAAAGAATTCTCCTCAATCTGTGATGGAAAAAATAGTAAGATTAAATAAGAACAGGAAGTTGAAAGCAAACATCTTTTGTTATCATAAAATTAAGCTCTGTCAATCAGAATTCAACTAGGTACTGTTATGGTTACACAGAGTAAAGGGACATTTGTATGTATTTGACTCTTAATATGAATTAAGATTGATTATACTGATGTAATTACTGTAAATAAATATGCAGCATCTTCCAAGATATTTTAGTTCAAAAATATGTTGTCTTCACAGCATTATTTTTATAAGATTCACAATCTGAGCTACTTTCTTCTCCCAATTTAAAATCAATTTGTATATATGTGTGTATGCATGCATGCATGTACCGTAAATCTCAATCTGGTCTTTGCTGAAGCAATTGGTACAGATATAAGTGGAGCTTTTTTGTTAACAGCACTTATAATTCAACATTTGGAATCACTAACAATCTGCAAAAAACCAACACCACCATATACCAGGACAGTGGGTTTCTTTGTGTAAAAACAAAGATGCTCAGAGAGTCAGAATGTTATTGCGTTTATAATGTGAAGCAAAATAATATGTAAGGCAAAGAAATATATGTAAATATGTTTTAATATTTTTGTATACATTTACTGCATCTTTTTTTCATTCTGCTATTTTAAAAATTTCAAGATCAATTCAAACAGAAACCAAAGAAAATAAAATTCAGTATAAATAATGTTATAACAACAGGTAAATGGGTGAAGTATAGAAGTAGGGTTTTTTTGCAATAAAATATTAAACATCTTATTAAAACTAGAGATCAAACTATCAAAGTAAATCTGAAATAATATACTTGCATCAAACTGAAAATTCTTAGTTTGATCCATTTGACAAGAAGGATTTTTTGTTTCTCCCAATTCACTGTGCAGTTTCTCTGCAACATGGTTGGGGTCTTTTAAAACCTCACTGTTTCCATCTTCACCTTAAACAAGTACATATAATATTAGTAATTTAATCAAGCTGAATCTCATTATAAAACATACTAACATTTGAAAATATTGGAATTACTATAGATTGCTCTAAGATTTTAAAAACAAAATATACAAATGTTTTAAATAAATACTAAAATATATTTTTAAAAAATAGTATTCCAGATCGATATGCTCCTACCCTGACGATGTTTAAGAAATTGCTGAAATGTTGGCTGTTTTCCCAAACTTTGAATTAGAATGGGTATTAAGACCCTTATGGGATTTTATCTATCACTATTATTATTTTTCTGGACATGCATTGTCCTTTGTTCTTTTGTTGTTACTATGTTGGATGCTTTATACCTCTCAGATTTTATTTTATAAATATAACTAAATAATTCTTAATTTTCTAGTATCACTTCCTAATGTGTTGGCAAGATCAACCGTTCACTACTACTGGTATGTTTTGTGGAGTGGAAGATGGGGAAAACATTTAAAATTTCCATTTTCTATACAAGTGAACTCTGCTCATGTTTTCCACTTCACAAAGTTCTGGATGGAAAACACTGTATTTGAGACTGAAATTCATAAAGTGGATCACCTAAAGTGTTTTTCATGAATTCATATTCTCAAAGAAATAGTTGTTACTGAAACAAACGATGTTAAATATTCACATGGACCATAATCCTACCTGATTTTTGACTTTGACATTCTGCTACAGATTCAAATAATGAGTTTGCAACAGAGTTGAATACTTGCCGTCTGCAACTTACGGAAGAGTAAAAAAAACCAGAAATTTCATTTTCAATTTGTATTCACATTTTTCTAAATGTATTTTTCTTAAATACTCTATCAATGAAGAGATATTAAAACTAGTAAGATAGTAAGAGTATCACTGCTGTAACTCCAATTTTGGCATCCACCAATATCTGCATTAGCTGCATTCAAGAAGGGCTTCAAGGGAGCATAGAGGACCAAATATCTTTAGAGACCTTTTTTCACATATTTTTTCTGCACTGGCTGCCCATTGGTCTCCGGACACGTTTCAAGGTGCTAGTCATTACTTATAAAGCCCTTCATGGCATCGGACCTGGGTACCTGAGAGACCGCCTCCTGCCAATTACCTCCCAAAGACCAATTCAATAGCACAGACTAGGCCTTCTCCGGATTCCATCTGCCATCCAATGTTGGCTGGCGCCCCCCCGGGGGAGACCCTTCTCTGTTGCAGCTCCGGCCCTCTGGAACAAGCTCCCCGTGGAGATCCGGACCCTTACGACCCTCCCGACCTTCTGTAAAGCCACTAAGTGCTCCGGCAGGCCGGGGGCTGTTGAAGTATCCAGCCCCATGGTAACTATGAATGTTGTTGTGTTTTAAACTGTTGTTTGTTTTATTTATTCCCTTTCCCCTTTTTATTGTAAGCCACCCGGAGTCCTCCGGGAGTGGGCAGCATACAAGACTAATAAACTACAACTAAACTACTACAACTTTTCACATATTTTTTTTCACATATTTTCTCACATGTTTTTAGGATACAGGAGAAGAGAAAAATATATAAAAAAAAGGTGTAAAGGCTGATGCAAATACAAAGAATCATCATTAGAGAAAGCTTACTTAGGTTCAGATACAAGCAGCCAATAATTGTATAAACCAATATTTTTTTAAAAAAAAATATTGTAAATGCATACCATAACGAACAGGTTATTATTTAATTTTAAAAAGTAATGGGAAGGGCCCCTAAGATGACACCATCTATCAAATAAAGATATTATATATGCTAACTGCTTAAACAAAAATAGATCATTACCTATTACAGGTATAACATGAAGATGTTCTAAATTGTTGTTGACAATCTGAAAAATTAAATGGGCTTCCCAGAGATTTATGTACATTAATACTAGGTTTAGTAAAGAAATCAGCGGTATCAGGAAATTCTGCAGGTGGTTGATGATACCCACTGGAGAGAAATCCATTACTGGGTGAAATGCCAGGATTTAAACTCTGAGAAATTCCTAAAGGGAAGATGAAGGAGAAACCAAAGAAATAAAATGTTAGAAGAATAGCCCTGGTTCAACAGATGTTCTCAGGTTGCAGGTAAAATCTGGAACTCTCTGTCTAGAAAGGTGGTTTGGAACCTCTTTGTTGGTATACTTCTACTGAGTCAAGATCTTTATTTTCAGAAAGGCATTCTCTCCATAAGCTACCTAAATATTTTAACAAATACTAGCTACTGATTTTTAATATATTGTGATTTCTGCTTATATACTTTTCATGCAGTGAACTTTTCATTAACCAGGTTTAATTTAATTTTCCACAAGAGTATCTCAGATCTATTACCAATTATGTTATTTTGCAAAAAAAGTTCTACTTATACATTATTGTTAGAACTTGTTTCACATGCTAATTCACACTTGTGTTTTTATTAATACCAGCCAGCAACATACATATGCATAAACATACATATGCACACAATGTGAGTGGGCTGTGTATCCTACAGCACTTGTACAATTTTTGAACTGTTTCTGGTTACTTATATGTAATTCTTCATTTGATTATCTATGGATTCACACACAGAGATATCTTTTCAGAATGTCCCAGAGGTAAAGAGAGACAGAGGAAGGAACTGGAACTATACTGAAGATTTAAAGACTGTTCAAACATTAAAAGGCTGACAAAATTTCAGCCAGCAATATTTGCAGTCTGCAAAGCTTGCTCTCAAGGACAAGCTCTGGACTGCTTTGTAAATATTTGCAAGTATAGGTAGTCCCCAACTTGCAGCTAGTGAAGTTAAAACAGTACTGAAAAAAATGACATGACCATTTTCACACTTACAACCTTTGCAGGATCCCCATGGTCATGTGATCAAAATTTGGGTGCTTGGCAACTGGAAGTATTTATGGCAATTGCACTGTCCTCAAGTCATGTGATAGCTATTTGTAACCTTCGCAGCCAGCTTCAAACAAGCAAAGTCATGGAGGAAGCCAGATTTGCTTAAGAACTGCACAATTCACTTAACAACTGCAGTGATCATAAAATGAGGAATAACTCAACAACTGCCTTGTTTAGCAATGGGAATTTTGAGTTCAATTGTGGTCATAAGCCAATGACTACTTAAATATATAAATCTATAACATATTTCACTTAGCAAAATTGGCATAATGTTTATTAAAGGCGGAATCTTTACTGCCACACATGTAACACCACAGTTTTATGAACTGTGTTGGTTCCCAGTGTGTTTCTGGGGCAATTGAACTCGCTGGTTATCACCTTTAAAACCCTACAAAGCTTGGGGATGGGTTACCTAAGGGACTGTCCTATCCTAGTGATTTCTACCACTCCAATTCAATCTAGCAGGGGGGCATTCTACAAGTCCCTTCAGCCATTTTATTTTAGCTACATAAGCAATAAGCAACTCACACCCTTAAATTTGGTAGCAAACAGAACAATAAAAACATCCTTTATCATTCTGAAAAATATGTATTTTATTATTTGAGCAAGCAACAAAATATTTTAATTAAAATAAAATAATCTAAGCAATATATAATTTTAAGTTGCATAAATGTACTATTTTCAAAATAAACAATATCATTCTATGGACATCCCTACAGACAATTTACAAACAATTATTACAGTCTTACCGGCTCGTCTAGAACCTGTATTGTTTGCTGAGGTCACTGAAGATGATCTTTGTTTCGGAATTGTTAATAGGTTTGTACCAACAAGAGGCCCATTTGGATAAGATCCTTGGCTAATTGAAAAACAGAAAAATAAATCTTTCTCCTCTTGTTTTACTAAACTAAAATACAGGAAAGTACATTTTAAAATTGCAATTAAATGTAAGACATCAATCAATGATTACAGTCAAAGGCAGGGATATTGAATAGTAAAGATATTAAAATAAACAAATAGTAGTAAAATAGTAAAGAAGTAATAAGAACCATAAAACAAAACCCTGAATGATTCTCAGGTGCAAAAGACCAAGGTCCACATATGAAAGTTGAACTTAACTGATTTATTGCTAAAAGGAATCATGAGCCACGGTGGCACAGTGGTTAGAGTGCAGTACTGCAGGCTACTTCTGCTGATCACCAGCTGCCAGCAGTTTCGCAGTTCAAATCTCACCAGGCTCAAAGTTGACTCAGCCTTCCATCCTTGAAAGGTGGATAAAATGAGGACCCAGATTGTTGGGGGCAATAAGCTGACTCTGTAAACTGTTTAGAGAGGGCTGTAAAGCACTGTGAAGCAGTATATAGATCTAAATGCTATTGCTATCAACTAGTGGTCAGTACCTGGTTATACGGAGATAAGGGTCAATGGCAATCAAAGCGGCTTGGACTTAGTTTGTGGCTACATAAAGAATTCTAGGCTGACCCCTCTTTTTACTCCTCCCCCTGGTACTACCAGTCCTTCTTTTATAATGACTTCATGCTGCCTAACAAATAAGCTAAATTCTGATTATGGGAGAGTTTCTATTAGTTGATGCCTTACTTTCACTGCTGCTACACAGTATTTTGCTATAATTTGGGCTATAGAGGCTTTGCAGTCTAAAAAAAGCAAAGCACATGGAGAAATGAATATATAATTGTTCTTCCATGATAATGATGATGCAAGAGTAAGCTGTGTTTGTAAAATAAAACATTGTTTCAATATGTCTGGTTTTTCATGGGCACATATGTTTCCAATAAGGGTTTCAAAATATCCTCTCTCCCCTGTTATAGTGCAAAAGGAAAAATATTATACTTAGCCCAGAAAAAAAGTGTTCCTTAATTTGGGAAAGGTAAATATGGACAGATAATTGGCTCCTTCCCAAAAATCTTTTGCCACCCAGGTGCTACTTCCTTGTACTACCTGATACTACCTGATACGATTGGAACTTAATATCACTCAAGTCTCTGCAGACATGTATGCTTGGCAAGATTAAATTCTAAGATTCAGATGAAATTTGCTGATAACCTACAAGTCCTAAACTTTTGCTCTATGATATTGTTTCAGCCTTCAAAAGTAGAGTAGAGCAAGGAGGGGAAACATCCCAAGGGGATGACTAAGGTGTTGATTTTGATTGGGTTTCATGGATTTTATTGTTTGGGGTTTTACTGTTATTGTTATTGTGGGACACCAGAGAATCATTTTAAAGTGAGGGTTCAGAGTATGAACTGCATTTTTGAGTAAGGGAAATATAGACCTCGTATAAATCTTAGAAATTTAAACTAAAGTTTAACAAGCATTCTTCCCAATATAAAGTTTTTTAAAATAGTTGAAACAAAGTTGTAAGTTGGAAGAAACTTAGGGCAATCAGTGTGTGTGTGTGTGTGTGTGTGTGTGTGTGTGTGTGTGTGTGTGTGTCCGTCCCCTATAAAATTTATTCAGATTTCATCCAAACCTGCAGTTTATTACCAAGATGCAATGAACATAATTTGCTTATAACATTTAGTAGACTTATAGGTCTACAATTAGGTAGGCCTTCAATATTATTTTTGGGGACTTATGGCTACCTTCATTCTACTTCTTAGGAATCTTTCCTGTTTGATCAATAAATATAAACAGAGATATCATCAAGGTGGGCTACCAGTTACAATCCCCTTTAATTTATTTCAGGTAAGGAAAATTCATTATTTGGCATCTTCCTAGTCTTAACTGATTCTAGTTAGACTTTCTGCTAAGTAATTGGAGTCAGCTATCCAGAGTGCTGAAGTCATGATAAACATTTTTACTATTATTAGTCAGTACTCTTAACCTAAAGGTCTCCTTCTCTTGAAGAAGGATCAAATTGGCCAGATTTGCCAATTACATTAAAATTGTAAGTACAAAGTATGGCCATTATAACCCATACTAGGATCTAAACCACACCAATTAATATAAATTGATTTTTTTCTTTGCCATATTGTTTGATAATATTTTTCAGTGTGACTTTATTTGGGACCTATTTAGAGGTATGTACAAATTAAATTCCTCTTACAAAATAGGGCAGGAGAATTTACTAATCCACCCTTGGGTCTCTCACCTCACTGGGACAAAGTGAATTAATATAAAACCTACTTTAGTCTAATTCAGTTGTAACTCATTTTTAGTATAATAAAAAAATGTCACATTTTGAAAAAAATATTTTAAAAAGAAATAGTTTTTTCATTTTGGCTACCATTCAAAAATATTCCATGATAAGGAGGTGCAGGTGTGGTTTTTTGGGGATAGTTATTTTTTCTGGTTATTACTGCTATTTCATGCAAGTCATCAGAACAACATAGCAGTATAATCATTATTATAAGTGTACCTTATTCATAATGTTCTCTATGCACAGATACATAATTATATACTAAGATATAGTAAAGGTTAAACACACAGAAATGCAGCTAAGTGCTATAAAATATGGCATAGAAACATAATATATTTTGGAAACATAATAAAAAGAATTGTACTGTATCAGACCACAGGATTAATTACTCCAGCAATCTCTTGCGAGAAGCCCAAACATAGGACATCGGTACAAGAGAATATACTTTTCATGCTCCCTAGCAACTATGTGCTATTATCAATACCTAATAAAAGGTAACCACAGGCTGAAGACACAGGCACTGTTGAGGGAATTTAAAAGCAGGGATCCACTTGATCATGCTCTTTCAGTCCGTGATACTTTTTAAAATATTGCAATGCCTTGTCTACAAAGTGAACATACAATTTACAATGCACAGCATAATTTAAAAAAAAAAACCCACCACCTCAAATATTTGCATATAATCCTTGTTTAGTGACCTCAGTCAGGACCAGTCACTGGTCAAAGTGAAAGCAAAGTGAAACCATAACTATGCTTATGATCTTATTTCAGCTTTCCTTTGCTTTACTGACCTGCAAAGATTGTAAATGCGAGGATTAGCTGTAAAATTTCTTTTCTATCACTGTCATAACTACAAGCAGCGCCTAAACAAGACAGTCACGAAATGAGGACTATTTGTATAGCACTTTTCTTAATTCTAAGCTCATTGCTCAGGAGGAGAGAAAACCACTTTTTTTTTTGTTTGTACTTTCTCAGCTGCCCAGTTTCCTCAAAGGGGGTTTGTGGGTGATGAAAGAGGCTCTGGGCAATGAATATATATTGATTATTTAAGAAATGTATAATATAATTGATTGAAAGTAATGGTTACAGCTTTGTACATACTGATTTATCTTTTGCTGTTGCCTATTAACAAAGAAATATTTTTGATGAATAATTGCTGCAGAAAAATGGATAGAAGTAGCATTTATGTTCTTACAACTCATGTAATTCTTAAAAAGTTTTTAGTTGTAGTTAATTTTAAATGAGAAACATACGTGAAGAGTTTAGAAATCCTGAACTACTAATATATATTTCATTAATATGTTTAAACAGATTGTTTCCTATTAAAAAGAATAGTCCAAATTACAAATGCTTTCCAGACAATGTGTTTAACTAGGAGATGGAATGTAGGGTAACATATTTCTGGAGAGTTTTTATCATTACATTCTTTTATTTATTAACTTGTCCACTGTGCAACTCGGTGCCCATTAACGAATGCATTCCACTACTTATAACATTAATGTGTAATCCTACAAGTGACAATTTAGTCCTAATGCACACTGAGCATGTATTTTTATCAAATCTATCTTGGGGTTGCTATTCAAAAAGAATATTTAAGAGTTAAGGAAACGTTTATGTTATACAATTTTCACTTTAAAAATGAATAGAAAAATAGCCGCTATGTTATAAAACTATGCCATCTGCTGTTTAAAATGTTTAAAATACACATGAAGCATTTAGGTATGGTCAGAACTCAGAAGATTTTTGAAGTGAAGTCTGGTGCTTTGTTGTCTAGATAGGGAGAACTTGTATTTTATATACATTTTAGATCATACATAAAAATGCATAATTTAAGCTGCATATGTCTATTAATCCTTAGATTCATTTGTCTGTTTGGAAAGAAGTTTGATCATATATATATATAATTGGGTTAAATATACCAATTAAATTAATAATTTAATTTATACATATTGAAATTTTATAATAAACAGTTGGTGATGAATGAAATCTGAAACTTTTTTATTTGAACCAATCAATAATATGATTCAGTAACTATTTTTGCACTGATTATTATATTTATTTGATATATTTGTGGAAAATTTGTTAATAAACTTTTTCCTGCCTATATATTTTGGCTTCCATTATCCTCCAGCTTTTTCGTGTCTGAAAAATTAATTAGATTCTTACAGCTTCTATATTGGTCATTCTCTATTACTTATGTCAGGAGTGTCAACTCACATCGTCATCGACATCACATGACGTAATGGGACTTTTCCCCCTTCACTAAACTGGGTGTGGGTCTGGCCAGCACATGATGCAGCTGGCCTGCAGACCAAGAGTTTGACAGCCCTGGCTTATGTGTATGTTCTTGCTTCTTTCTTTTTAAACATTTGCTTAAATGTTTCTTACCCTGCCCAGTAGAAGACCTTTCCATCACAATTTCTTGACCTATGTACTAGAAGCTGCATTTCTAAAATTCACTTTCTCTGACTTTTATCAGTTAAGTTTTATTTTTCAGTTTGCACAAAGGAACTACTAGTATGCAAATTGGAGATTTAAATATATGAGTACATTTTTTTAAAAAAATCAACATGATTCTCAATAATGTCATTTTTAGGCTTTCAGATATGGGCAGCAAAAAAATCTAGATTATTATTGACTGGTATTTAATTATTTGCTGTCATCTAGTGGTCATCTGGATTTCTGCAGTTCTGTTCTGA